TTGTTGTTATTTACCAAATTGCTCATTGAGATAATTTCTCCCATACCCAACAGTTGAGAATCCTTTGTCATCCACCATAGTCTTGATACACTTCTCGTGTAGCCAATCACTACTGTTTTGATAGCTTTGAATAGAACTACATTGGGTTGTGTCAAACTGTTAGAGTAGATGCCCTAGAGCCAATCAATTATTGTAGAATTGACTCTTTGTAACAATGTTCATTAATCAATAAAAGGCATTTTATTCTATTAGCGTAAATCATTATATTGCATATATATTGATATATGTCCTTAGAATGGTAGAACCGTGACGAGGGTATCAAGTGTTTCAAATCTGATAGTGAAAACCTTATAGCACATATGGTGGTCATTCTAAAACGTCCGTAGCCCCAGTTGTTCTAAAGTGGGCCAAGATATACGGTAGGCTTCATAGTGTTGAACGACCTTGTCGAAAGCAGTGACTGATCTCACTTGTCAAGGTTGTTTGGTGCACACCTGGTGCAACACATGGTGCTTGCTATAGCGTACACCGCAGCAAGTTCACTAGACTGACCCACCAAGGATTCCATATGGATGGTAACCCAGTGTCTATGAACAAATCCTCTAACGAATGGTATTGCATGTGATCCTTAGACTTGAGATCACCGGAGCGCCTTGTGCACCGATTGGTGTAGTTTGCACACTAGCTTAACATAGTTCTTTTCAGAGCTGTCAATGCGGTGGTGATTGCTGCATCAAGGAGTGTATCAAGACTATGGTGGATTGACAGGATTCACACTCCTGGTATGGGAAGATTAACTATGGCCACGTGGGATTGAGTTGTTGCTCTATCCAGTTATATTATGGTCATTGGTCCAAAACTGAATACATAATATCATGAGTAACCGAAGGTTGACACTATTTCTATGCCTTTGCTTGTTGAGAACGTATGAGAGGGATTGAATTGCACAGTAACCATATCGTTGACAGGTAGCTACTTTGTTGAATCCGAATCTATTGGGTGGCCATGATGCCTTGCTAGGGCCTAATCTTGGTCCTGTATTAGTGAGAAGATTAATTGGTGTTAATCACGATACTATACACTGCCGATATGATGAGGAGCCTATGGGTCATACACATGAAGTAATTTAAGATTCAAGAAAAAGAAGGGTGTTTTCGTCTTTTAAGGTGAAAGGGTTTTTGGTAATTTCACAGTGCTAAATTTGCTGAGGTCGTAGCCTTATTTAATTTGTTAGAAAAATTAAATAATTGAAATTACGTTTAAATATGTTTTCACATAATTTAATTAAGTCATCATTATTGTTAAATGTTAATATATATATATATATTATATATATATAATAAATATAATTATTGATTTAATTGAGATAATGATGAAATTAATAAAATATCTATTGGGGGTTTTGGGTTGGAGCCCAAACCTATTCCATATGGAATAGGCATTAAGGTTTTACTATAAAAAAAAGTTAAATCTAAAGAAAGAGTTAATTCATTAGTTCATTCTTTGTAAAAACCATACACAGCAGCCCCCTATTTTCTTCTCCCACGGTAGAAACACTTTTGCCTAAAATCATTCAATAGATTTTTCTTTTCTTCTTAATCTTGAAGCCAAAGAGGATCTAGCAAATCCCTCTTTGGTTCTTTTGAGATTGTCTTCGTGTGGACTATGTGGGTTCGATCCTACACTTGGATTGGTAGCAAACGTTCAAAGAACATCGTGGTAGAGCCTCCAAACGTGCATATGGTTTCTAAACATAGTTTTAATTTCTGTAGATTCTTGCTTTAATATGAATGTGTAAAATTATACCCTTGATCTTGGCTCATTGAACGACCTTGTATTATATTTTTCTTGTTTCCGCTACGTATACGGACCGTTTACTAACACAAACTACACCAATTGGTGCACAAGGCGCTCCAATGATCTCAAGCTAAGGATCACATGCACCACAATTTGTTAGAGGATTCATTCCACAGACACTAGGTTGCCATCTATTGGAATCTTCTAGTGTTTTGTCCAGTGAACTCGCCTATAGCAAGCGCCCATGGCGTGTACCAATTTCTCAACAACAACCTTGACAAGTGAGATCAATCATTGTCTTTTAACAGGTCATTCACACTATGATAGTCTTACCGTATTATCTTGTCCTTATTTAGAATAATACTAGGCTACAGATGTTTCTAGAATGGCCACCATAGTGTGATATATCTTCACTATCAAGATTTGAAACACTCGATACCCTCATCACGATTCTACCATTCTAAAGACATCCATTATAACATAGTAAAATACAATTACATAATTAAATCCCTTTTATTAATTATTAACATTATTTACAAGATCAACATTTACAATATGGATTGGCTCTAAGGCACCTACTCTATAGCTTAGGTGCTTAGGCATTGAAAACTTCTTGTTTGCTTGAAATTGCTTGAGAAATTTAAACTTAGCTATTTCTAGTGGATATGGATCTAGCAGGGAGCGATCTAAACCATCTCTTTCTTCCCGTTGTTAGAGTGACGCCAAACATCGAATTTGGTGAGATCTGAGACCTGGTGCAACTCCATCAGTTGTTGAAGGCATCTAGATGATCTTGAGGATCATCATTCCATCAAAAGCCTTCATGTCGAGCATTCTGAACATTGACAAGAAGGGTGTGTGGAGCACTGCAATAGAAAATGGAGATTCCTATGTACAGATTCCTGCTCATCCTGATAGGCTCAAAGTTCGTCGAAGACTTTTTGTAATTCATCTAGTTGCAGGCCAGCTAGATGACTACTTTGTATACCTTAGTATGGACTCTCGACTATTTCGTGCGCATCAAGTGGTCATAGAGATCCTCACATTTGGCAAGTTATCATGCTCACCCCATTCTCTCAAACACACTTTGGTGTGGATCGTTGCTCAAGAAGAGCGAGTTGTCTGTGCTAAGTGGCTATTATCAACCATCGTTGTGTGTGGATTTATTGAATAAAGTGCAGAATTATAGACAAATTTTTTATTCAAAACCCTAATTCCCTGGATCATGGATTGATGTATCTAATCCATTCAAAACAATATATACATATAGATTAAATATTAAATATTTATACCTTCGATTGGAGGCCCTTCACTGGATTTGTAGATTCGCTTTCACTCCAAGCTAGGAAGGAACGGTATCCACACAAAGATAGTGTAAAATAAAAAGGTGCAGATTTTTCAAAGAGAAAAATTCCACTCTCAAAAGGGGGCATATGGTTTAGAGAAGAGAGAGAGAGAGAGAGGGTGACTAGGTTTTTTTCTTTAGAAATATATTGTGTTTTTTTTCTTATTAGGTTTTAATTTTAAGTTGACTTATAGTGCAACTATTAAAACCCTAATCCCAATTAGGAATAGCAATCAACTTATTCCTTCATTAGAATGATATAACCCACAAACCAATCAAGGTAAATAGATATTTTATTTAATATTATATTATCCTAAAATTATATATGTAAATAATTAATCTTAACCAATAATTCACATTTAAATATGCACATATATTTAATATGTAATCTCACTTTAATTTCCACTAAAATTAAATATATGCAACAACCACTGTAAATTTAATTACACTATGAGTGATGTATGGAAAATAGTGTTAAATGAGGTTTATTAGAATTTAATTTTGTTTCCCTTCTTTATTTGATTTCCTTATTTATTTAGAGTTTCATAATAGGAATCAAGTAGTTTTCTTTTTTAATTAGGAGTTTAGTCGATTTAGAAGTTTTAATTTAGTTAAATTTTACTTTCTTATTTTATAATTAGTTACAGTTTGGACGAGTGAGATGGTGCTGGGTGAACGCCATCAGGCCGTACCTCCGGTAAGATGAGGCCATGACGTTAGTAAGAAAGTGTGAGGAAGGAATTAAGAAAAAAATAGTTACGAGGATAGACAAATAGAGGGTTTACTTACTGAGCATTATTTTGTGCTCACCCCGTCATTTTCCTTTGTGGATGCAGGATCTAGGTGATGATGCAGTCGGAGGGGCGTCGGCAAGCGAGGAGTAATAGCTACACTGTTTCCCCTGTTTTTGTCTTTTTAAATGGCATTTTGTAAATAATGCTCTTTGTGTATAAAAGACTTATTACATATAATAAAAAGAAAAGTTTTGTGCCCATTTTCTATTATTATTATGCTAGCATTTTACTAGTTATAGCAGTTGTTACATAATAGCACAACAGAAAGATATTTAAAGTAGTTTGAATGCTAAATGCAAATCCTACGTCCACTGTTCTTGTATTGTCTTTTGTGTTTTTGTTGCGCACAAGTTCGACTTACAAAATATGAATCAAAATATCAGCCCTAATTTAAGTAAAAAAATAAGCTCATATACTATTGCATTAGCAAACTTGTAAATAAAGTTAACCTAAAAAGAATGACATGTGGTGTGAATCCATGCTCCAAGATTTATCGCATAACACCTACAAATCTGAAAAAAGACATCTCTGTAAAAATTTTCATAAACCTTTTAAATAAAAAATAAGAGAGTTCACATCTAATTAGATCAACCTCATGAAAAATAAAAAATATGTACCCGTTTATATAAATATATATAATGATCACTATTCTAGATAGAATGGGGTCTCAAATTCCTCAAAGTACATTAAGGAAGAGTTGATGGCTATATATGTTTTTATACAACATTTCGAAGTGCGTTTATAATTAACAAAACCTTGGCAATGTTCAAACTATATCTATTCAAACGCAAAATTTTGAAAATGCTTTATATCAGTGCCACTCTCTCTTAAACCACACGTTCAATGCAGATCCGCTTAACCTGCTTCCTGCATGTAAACCACGCGTTTAAGTAAGGTGAACAAAGAATTCTCTGTTTCCGCTAGTCTGTTACTTGTCACTGAAGACTTGTTCCAAGTCTCATGAACAAAATTAAAACCTCTCTCTCTCTCATTGAGTAGTCTTATTCATTTGAGTTTAAATTTTCTGTGAAAATTAAGCTCCGTTTTAATTAGTTAAGCTTATCATGGATGAAGAGTATGATGTAATAGTGCTTGGGACTGGTCTCAAGGAGTGCATTCTCAGTGGTCTTCTCTCTGTAGATGGACTCAAAGTAATTCTTTTTCCTCTTGTTATTATTTTCTATGTAGATTGGATTTGGGAGTTTGATGGTGAACATTTTACAATATTGTTTGACTGTGATATGAAAACGAATTATTTTTCATTAACTTTGATCCCATTCAAATGTAGTCTCACCAAAATTGTTCAAAATGATGTTTATAAATATGTGCTTTTTTAATTTGGAATTTAGATTGAATTTATTGTTTTTAAAAATAATTTTTGAAGATGATCCTAATTTTTATCGTTCAAGAAACTATTGATCATCTTCTGTTTATTTTTCTTGGTCTCTTATGTCTGAAACAGTTGTATATTAAAAAAAATAATAATAAATCAATTTCGATTCAGATTTTGGGATTATATGTAAAAGTGGCTTTCGGAAAGAGTGCAAACAACCACATTTGTTTTTTAGAAAAAAAAAAAAAAAAAAAAAATCATATTTTGATGAATAATGCTTTCTGGTGTAATTTTCTTTGAAGGATTTTATGGATTAATCCTTTTTCTTATTTTTAATTTGATGAGTTAAGGGATTCAATGATATATAAAGTACATAATTAATCAGTGACTTTCATGTCAAACAGGTTTTGCACATGGACAGAAATGACTACTATGGAGGAGAATCAACTTCTATCAATCTTAAACAGGTCACTCTTCTCATACCTGAATTGTATATATACTTTTTATCTGAAATCTCATCTCTGTAACCTTTATTTTGGTGGCTTATAGCTATGGAAGCGTTTCAAGGGAGACGATCAGCCTCCAGAAAGCCTAGGCTCCAGCAAGGATTATAATGTTGATATGGTACCCAAGGTATGCATTATAAATTCACCATTTAATATTTGGTTAATTTGTTGTGTTACTCATATTGTGTTAAGGTTTTTGAACATCTACATGTGTACTCTTGAAACAAATTTATCTGACACTGAGAATGGCAGCATAGTTTGAGTTTTCTAGTCTATGGAGATCAATAATTTTAGTGCACACATATTGAGTTCTAGTTTGTTGGTACAACAGCTTTGTGAAAATTAGAATTAGAATTTCATAAGTAAAATTTACATTCTTGCACATTCATGCATAAAGTGATATTATTGAAACCTGTTATTCTACTGCAAAGCTTACCATAATCCTTTATTTTCTTCATCAAAATCATCTCATTCCCAACTCATGTTACCTTGGTGAGTATTCCCTTGAAAATGATCCCCTGTAGAATTGCAAACGCTAGTAATTATGTAGAGATCACGTTGAACTAAAGACGACATATATCTCTCTGAGAATTGAAAGAACACCTCGTCATCTTACGGATATTAGTACTCCAGCAGATATCAAGATTTGAGCTTTTATGTTGATACTCTGCAGCTGTCAAAAATGAACAAATCACATGAAAGATAAAGAGGTATCATATAATCTGAAATGATAGAACTGTCTTTTTATATGTAGCTCTAGTACTTACCATGAAACAAAAGGTATCCATCCATGTTGAACTGGAAAGATAAGGAAGTTCGCTTGGTGCTGGTACTATGGTGATTGCTTAAAATTGTAGCTTCTTGCTTCATGCTGATGTATTTGCTTTATTTTGTCTTGTTCTCTTAATATGTTTCTACTTAATTTCTGTGTAAAGTTTCAGAATTAGATATGTTGAACCACGTAGTTACACCATTATATCCCCTAAGTTAAATACATTATGGCATCAAGACTAAATGCTAACTTGTTTTCCTGGGTAAAGGAAGTTCTTATGGTTGCTTGTTTCTTTTTTCTCAAATAAATAGCAATATTTCCATGGTTTGTATTGCATAATTCAAACTTTCCAATTATGCTTTACCTAGAATAAACTATCGGTATGTTGTATGCATAATAGGATTAATTTGTTTTCGTAGTTTATGATGGCCAACGGCGGTTTGGTCCGTGTTCTTATCCACACAGATGTTACCAAGTATCTTAACTTCAAAGCTGTTGATGGTAGTTTTGTGTACAACAAGGGGAAGGTGTGTCCATTATAGCATATGAATTTTATATACTAGTTAGTCATTCAAAATTATAACTAGTCTCTTATTTCTGCATTCAATAGGAACATGATTATATTGTTTGTTATAACTTACAAGGTTTATCCTTATTTTCAGATCTATAAAGTTCCAGCAACTGATGTTGAAGCGCTGAAATCACCTTTGATGGGACTGTTTGAGAAGCGCCGTGCTCGAAAATTCTTCATTTATGTCCAAGAATATGAAGATGATGATCCAAAATCTCATGAAGGCCTGGACTTGAACAAAGTTACAGCAAGAGAGATTATCTCGTATTAACCTTTCACCATTGCATATCTTGCTAAAACACTTGAGAATGTTACTTGAATCCATATACACTAGGATTTACAATGGTTATAAATTCTACGCTTACGTTTTGTAATTTTGAAGTTGCCAACTTTCCTTAAGTATTAACAATGAAACACAAACATAACTGGTATCAGAGTTGGACCCACCATCTGATTGGACCTCATTTAGTGAATCTCACAAAATAAGAAATAAGAACTCATGTAAGGGTGAGATTTATCCATTTCATGTGATTTCTTATACCATTTTGCTACACTCTGTTTTGCTAATAAAGATTTGAAGCATGTTGATTCAAACAATTTAAGTTTTGTTCTAACATTTTTTTTTTTTTTTTCTGATGAAAGATACGTATGAGATTAGATCTTAATAATTTTGCTGCATTAATGTTTGCATGAATGAAACATCTCTGGCTATCATTTTATTTCCCCTTCCTCCTCTCAACTTTTTTAATAAAAAATTCTCAGCTTATTGCTTTATTCAATTAGCATTGTTAATTATATATCACATACCTGATGTCTGTTTTGTAGAAAGTATGGGCTTGAAGATGATACAATTGACTTCATTGGTCATGCCTTGGCACTTCAAATTGATGACAGTTATCTGGATCAACCAGCTATGGATTTTGTGAAGAGAATTAAGGTGAAACTATGTTTCTTTTTCCTGAATTAGCATGTTTGCATTTGCAATGAGTATGCCATTCAAAATATTTCTTGCCGCAAGCTTCTAGAAATTGTATGCCAAGGATTTAATTACTCCACGGATTAGAACAATTTTTTGTTTGACACCGTTCATTATCTGTCAATCTCTAGCTTATGTATGCATGTAGGGTGATTGAAATCTTGCAAGCTTTTCACTCTTATAGTTCTGTTACGTTATATTCAGGTGATTATAAGATCACATGTAATGCATGAAAATTTGTTTCAATGGTTCAGTTTAACATTCAAGAAGAATAAACACATATCAAATTCCTAGAAGTACAATTACTCTGGTTTTTAAGCCATGTGGTTCCTTTATATTTACTGTGTGCCTCTTGCTTCAAATGGCAACATAAAGATAAGATAGATCTTCAGAAATTTAATCTTTAGAGCTAATCAACCAAACTTTTAACCTTTTTTTTTTTTTTTTTCTAAAGCTTTATGCGGAGTCTTTAGCACGTTTCCAAGGAGGTTCTCCTTATATTTACCCTCTATATGGACTGGGGGAGTTGCCACAGGTGATTTTTTTTTAATATTTCATATATGTAGGCAGCAAATGTAGTTTCACTTCAACATTTTATCATTCATTACTGGCAGGCATTTGCACGTTTAAGTGCTGTTTATGGTGGAACTTACATGCTCAACAAGCCAGACTGTAAGGTAACTCTATCAGTATAGTTTCTTATCCAGAAAGTTTTTAACCGTTTTATCGTTAGAGGTGCAAGAATATTATTAGGCTTAAGTTATGGTTCTTCACTAGACATAAATTCGAGAAAAATTGCCTTAAGCCCCACCTTATGAAACCCTCCAAGAGTAGGCACTCATGAAGTACAAAAGAGTATGCTTCCTAGATGTATCCTATGGTTCTCAAGTAAAAACTTTAACCAGCCCCTATCATATTTTTTATCTGCACTGATCTTTTGTTTTACACAAATGTGCTTGGAATTTCTCCATCTTCATGTTCCAATATTGTGGAGTTTATAGATTGTCTATTAAGACAACTCTTTTAAACATCAAACACTATTCCACAGCCATCCTCTCTTTTAAAGTCACATTTATGGTAGCTGATCTCTGGGACATTCCAATTTCATCCCATCATTACCTGGCAACAATTTATCTGTAAGTGTCACTCCCTAGTTTCTCCAATTTCTGAAGAGTGCAGTTAAACTTATGCAATTCTGTATTTTTTTTATGATAGGTAGAGTTTGATGGTGATGGAAAAGCTATTGGTGTGACATCCGAAGGAGAAACTGCTAAATGTAAAAAGATTGTTTGTGATCCATCATATTTGCCTGATAAGGTAACCTCTAGTAATGTTTTTGACATTAATAAATTACGTTTTTCAGCTCAACTGGCTGATACATTAAAAAAGCAGCTGCATGTGTTCAAGATCAAAGCCAACTAGAATACTCGACCTTAATAGAAAATATGCATTATTCAGCCCTACTTATTTGGTCATCCTCTGCCGTTTCTTTCACAACAGGTTAAAAAGGTTGGAAAGGTTGCTCGTGCAATATGTATAATGAACCATCCAATTCCAGACACAAAAGATTCTCATTCATGCCAGGTTATTTTGCCACAGAAGCAACTCGGTCGTAAATCAGACATGTATGTTGGGCTAAATTTCATTTTGCAGTTTTTATTGATCGTTTTTGACATATTAAAACAATAGAAAAAATGACAATGCACATGTAGTACAAATGTTCATATTTTTAATTTAGGCTTCTTATATCCTTCTTAACAATGAGATTGAGTATCCTATTGGATTTAAGGTAATCAATCATAACCTTCAAGGTAATATTAGTCAAAAGCATGATTTTAATTATAGCTCACATTTCCTCACACCACCAGTTTTTTTGTAAATTTTAAGTGCATAGAGTTGTATGAGTATGTAGAAAAAGAAAACACGCATTTGAATTACGAACTTTTAGCTTCAGCCTTCAGGCATCATAGCTGGAAGTTTCAACTATTTTAATTGCTGCAGGTACCTTTTCTGTTGTTCATATGCTCACAATGTAGCTTCAAAAGGACTATACATTGCTTTTGTTACAACAGAAGCTGAAACCGAAAATCCTGAAGTTGAGCTGAAGCCTGGCATCGATCTTCTTGGACCTGTAAAGGAGATGTTCTTTGACACTTACGAAAGATTTGTGCCAATAAACAACCATGAAGCTGAAAACTGTTTCATATCTACTGTGAGTAGCCATTCATGTTATATTTCATATATACATATGGTATATTCTTAAAGAAAAGCGCAATTGAGCTTCTGTTCATTCACTTATTTTGCCTTCATTTCGACTTTAAGTTTAAACTTCTTGCAGAGTTATGATGCAACAACACACTTCGAAACCACTGTAACGGATGTGCTACAGATGTACAGCAAGATTACTGGAAAGGTAGTATTTAGTGGGATATTCAATCCTGGAGATAGTAACAATTTCGTCTTGAGGTTTGATCTAAGTAACACTTTAGTTTTCTAGAAATTTTTTTAGCAAAGATTTGGTACCCGTCCCCGTAGGGATTATTGCCATCTCTAAAAATCAAAACGTTATTAAAAAGATCTAACAAGACTGAAGGTTACTAGCCAAATCTCAAGGATGAAATTGTTATTTTTCCATCAATATCCTGTTAACATTAAGTAGTTCACTTATCATTTGGCCTTGTTGTTTTTATGGTTCAGGAACTTGATCTGTCTGTGGACCTGAGTGCTGCTAGTGCTACTGCTAATCAATGAAATTAATAAAGCTTCTTCTCATGCCAAAGTATTCGCAAAAGGGAGGATTATTTCTTTAGATTCTTTTTTCAGTTTGTTTAAATTAATATGATAAACAAGCTCATCATTTTTCATAGCATTCTTTCAAACAGATTTGTGATGTTTTAAGATAATGATCGATTTTTTTATGCTAACTCTATGACCCGACTTCTTTGTTGAAATCAGATTTCAACACTCTAATCCGATTTTAATAAAGATTGACTCACTATTTAATCTTACAAACTTTTTCTTACAACTTCGATGTGGCAACTCACAATTGATCAACTTACAATTAGGTAAGCGGGACCCATAGCGAGTAGGTGAAATCCATTTATGAGTTGATCAATTCCGAACTATTATATCGAGATTATGAGGAAAAGTTTGTGAGATTTGATTGTAAGTGTAGTATTGTCTGTCCCCTAACAAACTTCATTAGCATAAACTACAAACAAATTCATTAGCACCAATTAATCCCATTATTTCGCATTTAAGTGTTAATATGATTTTAGGAATACGATGGTGGGGTGGGTAATATAGCATGAATGGAGGAAATGAAGTTTTAATTCTTTTAAAATAAGAGAAAATCCACGCTATAGCAGTGGTACCAACTTAGATTGCTGAGTTGATACCACAAGCAAATTATATCTTGACATGTGTAAATTTCATTTAAGTAAATGAAAGACCAAATTAAAAGACAGTTAAAAATGGAGGACCAAACAAATATATGACTATAATAAAATTAATGCAAGGAACGGCAAAGTAACGACGCGCAAGCCGAAGTTGTCAAATGACGCTAGGAAAGTATCAGGGAACAAAAATGCTATTTACACCGAAAGTTGGTATCGAAAATTTACACCGAAATACGTGACACCTGACTCAGACGTCGCCATGTAGGACGATAGAAGACTTCCATAAATGGACGGACGTCCAACATTTTCGAACGGTTGTCCATACTTCCTGGACTGCCATTCATTCAGGAATGGATTACGGTCCATAAAAAATATTTAAAAATAATTAAAAAAATCAATGGACTCCCGTCCAAATACTAGGGACGGGCGTCCCTTTAATATGGACGACCATCCAAATAAGCACACTAGATAGACGCCTGTCCATCTAATGTGGACGACAGTCCCTTTGCCGTCCACATTAAATGGACAGGCGTCCCAATTCTTCCACTTCACTTGTTTATTCTTCAACTCCTCCCTCATATAATCCATAACATAAAAAATAATGCTGCTACTCACATTTCCATAGGCCATTAAAGCCTTCCTGCTATACTCCAGCATCTCATTGTTTAATTTCAATTTGTTTTCCAGGCGGTTTAGAATTGTTGGTCCACCAAGATGGACTGCCCAAAACAAATCATTGAATTTGGACGGCAATCCATCCTGGTGGACCAGCAATTCTAAACCGCCTAGAAAACAAATTGAAATTGAACAATGAGAAGCTGGAGTATAGCAGGAAGGCTTTAATGGACTATGGAAATGTGAGTAGCAGCACTATTTATTATGTTATGGATTATATGAGGGAGGAGTTGAAGAATGAACAAGTGGAACTGGAACTAGAACTGGATGAATAGGGACGCCTGTCCATCTAATATGGACAGCAGTCCCTTCCCGTTTAGAGGGACTGTCGTCCACATTAGATGGACAGGCGTCCATCTAGTGTGCTTATTTGGACGATCGTCCATATAATTTGGACGGCCGTTCATATTAAAGGAATGCCCATCCCTAGTATTTGGACGGTCATCCATTGATTTTTAGTTTATTTTTATATATGTTTTATGGACCGTCATCCATTCCTGAATGAATGGTAGTCCAGGAAGTATGGACGGCCATCCATTTACGGAAGTCTTCTATTGTGTCCTATGTGGCGATGTCCGAGTCAGATGCCACGTATTTCAATGCAAATTTTCGGTGTCTGTAGCATTGCTGATTAGGGAAACCAGATCAGAAAAAATAATAATAACTGGAAAGACACATCGGCATACTAGGGGTGAGCGGGTCCAAGTACCCGCCTTAATCTTATGGAACCAGAACCGGAACTGGTCGATTCTTGAGATTTGAAACCGAAATTGGAACAGACCGGTTCCGATTCTTAAATGCCTAGAACCGGAACTTGTGGTTACAGGTTTCAATTCCAGACAGGGTACCCAGTACTATTCAAAAAATAAAAAAATAATATAAATTTATATTTTTATTAATTTTTTGCTCTCCTCTCTTTTCTCTCTCATTTTTCATTTTTTTCAAAACTTTCTCTCTCTTTTCTTGTGTAAACTCTTCTCATTTCTTCTGTAAATTCTTCTCTTCTTTCTTTTTGTTCCACCACTTGACTTGGCTACCGCAAGGCCCATCAGCTCCCTTCTTTCTTTTCTCTTTCATTTTTCGTTCTTCTCAAAACTTTCTTTCTCTCTTTTCTTTAGTAAATTCTTCTCTTCTTTCTCTTTGTTCAACCACTTCACTTGGCTGCTGCAAGGCCCACCAGCTCCCCCTTAACCTCCTCTTCAAACGCCACCCACACCCTCCCGCCACCACCCACCGACCGAATCGATGACCACTACAAATCCGCGCTCTTCAAGCTATTTTTCCAATTGCTCCCGATGTCAAAAATCCACCTAGTCACCACCAAAAGCTTCACTGACATCCCATCTAAAAAACCCCCAACTGTCGCGACCTTAGTTAGCCGCCGTTCACCATCCATGAATTCCTTGGGTTTTTTTGTGATTTTGGTGAAATTGGGTTAATTGGAGGTTGATTTTGGGTTTTTTACAAGGAGTTTGTCTTATGGTTGATTAGAGTTTGATTGTGCTTGAATTTGAATAGTTTGTGTTGATTTGGGTTGGATGTTGAAGTTTTGAAGACTTGCAATTTTTTGGTACACCACCTACTCAACCAAATTCCCCAGCCAACTCTCTTAAGCCCCCAACAAGCTAGTGATTATGGATTTGATTTAAATTATTTTCTATAATTTTTTTGGTTCTAAGTATTGGTTCCGGTTCCTGAAGTGGTGGAACCGAAACAGGAATCGCAAAGTATCAGTTCCACCAAATTTGGAACCAGTTGCGGACCCTAATAGGCTAGTTCTGGTTCCTACTCAAAATCGATGGGTGGGTACCCCCCAGTTCCAAGTAGAATCGTTACTCGTGCTCACCCCTACGGCATACTACAAATTCAAAGTAAGGAGGTGTCGTCTCTTCTCTAGACTTTTCAGGAGATGTTGAGTCCCTCGCTAGATTTTGCAATGGTGAACCAGATTGTCTTTGTTAGTGCATGCCCTAGGAACCAATCGCGTTGTTAGTTTAAGGACATTATATCTTGTAAATGTATTATGAATAAAAGAAAGTGTTCTTATTTCACATGTTGATTTACTGCTTCATTTATATTATAATTAATATTACATGTGAAATCTCCGGATGACACGGATCTTTAGAAGATCAGATTATCGAAGAATTCCCTACACAAGTAATGTTAATTGGGCAATAACATTGCATAGTAGGCATGTTGAATTTCTCCATTGAATATCATGTGATGGTATTAGTGTGGGTGATTATAAGAGGTATGTCACTAGACATTAGCATGGATAAACGGTTAGTGAACTATTAATCGAAAACGACCGATTACGATGAATCACATGGGCATGGTCAATGATGCATCGTAGGATCGTGCTAGTGTACCATTGATCCTTAGACTTGAGACATCACGGTTGAATTCAACATAGGATGCATATGGTTCATATGGTGTATAAGCACGAGATTAGTCATGTCTTGTGTAATAAGCCGGTTTGGTCATATGTTATTCATGTGCGAGGACAAGTGATGGTCAAGATGGGATTCGTTAACTCAAAATAGTCCAATCTCGAGTTCCCAGACGAATATCAATAAACATTGGAAAAAGGAAATCTCTAGCCAGAGTATAATGAATGTCAGATGAAAAGTAGTTTCGTGTTGACATGTTCCATTGTATCGATTGACAATTCGATTAAAGATTAAGTTAAGGGTTTTGACATACCATGAACCATTCTTAATCGGGATTAGATAACGAAGGGATTTTACTACACATTACGTACAATCAGAATAGGTTCATTGGAGTTTACATTTCATTGTGGTTTAAGGGTTATGGAACAATGCTAGACGTCTACCATAATCAGTGGGAGTTTCGATTATAAAGAGTTATAATGAAACATATCAAAATCTGATATTGGACCCACGGCTAGATCACAGTGAACCAAAATGATCACACATAAAACCAGGCTCAAGAAGAGAGAGTAATACATATCATTGATCAGATTAATGATGTTCGGACGTAAACAGTTGCATCTGAAATAGTGTATTGGTGAGAAATGATTATCCATAGATGGCTAGCACTAACCAAGGGTAATAAGGATTTATTAAATATTATTATTGAATTGGATTCAATGATGGGGACAAAAGTGCATTGGTTTTATTCTAAAGAGTTAGAATAATTAATAGGATTAAAATTGGGCTGATTATGAACTAACCATAAAGCCAAGGACTTGACATAAATGCTCTTTCCCAAGATTAATTTTAAATTGTTTGAAGACCTCCCAAGACAATTTAAAATTACACTTTGTGCCCATGGTATATAAACCAAGTGTTATACCATTTTCATTCAATTTTTGCAACAATTGAAAACAAAAGGCACTCTCTCGGCTCTTTCTCATCTTTGGCTTGGGTGGATTACATTTTGAGTTTCTTCATTCTCTTTTGAAGAATCTAGACTCCAAGTTTCAACATCAAGCATTTAATAGCAAAGGAGTAGGTAATATACTGTTCTTTTCTTTAAAAATTATCATTGTGTTATTTTTGTTTCCTACCTTGCATCCATCATCTTGTTCATCCATTTTACACCAATTTCCATGTCCAAAATGCATGAATCCTAACAATGGTATCAAAGCACGTTTAAATTCATGCATGCATGTAGCATTTTTGGTGAAAATGGCTTGGTTGGGACATGAATATGTTT